CTTAAGTATGTTTAGTGTGGCGATAACAAAAGTTTAGTATGACAACGAAAACTTTTATCAGGATATATATATTTTGAGGATTATCGATACATAGGGAAATGATTACAAATGCAAATCTTTTATGCTTATTTTTAAAAAAATATCACAAAGTAATTTTTTTCTTTTAACTTTTAGGAACCCTTCGGAATTTTCTTTATGGTAACTTTAGATGTCCCTTTTTTTTAAAATGTCATATTTTTATCATAAATATTGTTTAATTCACCCGATCGTCTATATCCAACAAGAAGGATCATAATATAGTATAATGGAATGAATAAATTATTATTAGTCATCTCTTATTTTCTTACAAAAACAAAAGTAGGGACTTTTTAATATTGTGATGATAAAATTGTGACCTCATTCTATATATATATATAAATGTTATGGACCTAAGGTCGATCTCGATCATTATATAATATCTCTCAGGTGTATTAACAGGATTCGTCGGTCCACCAAACCCACGTGAATCAGGAAATCACTTTAAACGGAACCACCAACAAATTATTTATAGTAATTTTTTTATTAAAAAGGAAACTTGCAAGATGATTTATAGTAATTAATTTGGAATAAAATGTATATATTTAGCGCCATTGACATCATTTTGTATTTGTATATATGATTTAGGTTTGAGGTTACAACTGACCTATAAACTATAACGAAAACAAGAGAATCCCTCGAGAACCATGAGTATACCCAAATGGTCCATTATTTTGCATCGAGTAAACTCACTTAAAACTCTAAGAAAATAGAAGTTCGCCAATTAAACTGTCCACAACGAACCATAGCCATTCATATGCTCAAAAGGCTGCATCCACTCGGTTTTTGCGGTTCAACCGGTTTCAACCATATGACACTTCGGAAAATATTGGCTAGCGAGTAAGCACAGCATCCGGTCTAGTAATACCGGCCTATCTGGTTGGCACTTCTTTTGATCAGTTTTATAGCATAAGAGATTATAAACCTAATGCAAATTGCAAACCATACTTTCACACTAATCACAATTATTACACTTCATTGATACTAAACAACCACCACAATCTTGAAAAGAAAATACAAAACAAGCAAATACCATAAAACTATATTACATGCAATAACAATTATTCACAAACTAATAAAGCTCTTCATAATTTATTCATTTTACATAAAGTACAAGAATTTTAGCTCATAATTTCACATGCACCAAACCAATCATTGTTTCATTTTGGCAAATTCAATATCTATTTGTAGAATTCAATAATAGAATATGAATATGCAAGACAAATGACTTCACATCGGAGAAAACCTGAATCAAATGCTAAATTTTCGAACTCCGAAAGCGATCGCTCTTTACCACCCGAACATTGTGTTAGCATCAACATGTCCATAGCAAACACAATGTTAGAGGAAATTTCACCACCCTTTGGCTCCGTTGGTGTAATCATATCTACAATGATCACCTTTCCTTTTTCCGGTAGACTCTTCCAACAATTTTTTAGAAGTTTTATACAATGTTCGTCTGTCCAATCATGTAGTATCCACTGCCAACCATTAAGCCATTTAATTACAAAAGTAATAGATTTAATTAACACTTAAAACAACACTTTTTTATTTAAATATATACAAACTTACTTTCATGAAGATGGCATCTCCCTTTGGAACTTCTATAAACATGTCTCCGGAGACATGCTCCACTCCTTTTATTAGTAAAATTAAACAAAACAAAAGGTTTAAGAGGTAGCTATTAAAACTAGCACTTCCATATATACAACATAATAGTTTATATGCCA